TTATAATTGATTGGGATAAAGAATGGTTACCTAGATGTATTATATAATAATGCATTAATGAAAATACAATTTACTAGTTTTGTTATTTTACCAGAACAACAAGGTATTTTTAATTTATTTAAATGTGAAAATGGTCATTGCAACACTCATATATAAGTTTTAAATAATTGAGAATTCAACTAGGTTGTCTTAAAAGTGTTGAAATTATCCTTTAAAATACAATATATGCATAGGAATAAGAATTAAAATTAACAGATTAACGACTGTGAAAACAGAATCCGTGATCAATAATCAACCATTTATATTCACCATAAAAAGTGTCCATGCCTCGGCGGTATGCAAATCAAACAATAAATGAATAAACATAGTACAAAGTGTCGGTTTACCATTTTATTGGGTTATATTATAGGCTCTATACAATCGTCTTTTCAGTAGATAGATAAATAATAATCCCAGGCTGATATCTCATATTATTATAACGTTTAAGTAATAGACAGGAAAGTAGCCAAGAATTTCAAACGGAGTTGTTATCCAAAATACTTAGGTGCTTCAAGTATAACTATACAAGATTTGACGTTTATTTTAATCGTTCAAAAATGTATAACAAGTGTAATCACCAATCACATAAATAACTCATTATGACTAAACTATTAGGTATCATAATTTTTATGATTTGCCCTCCGAGATTATACTGGCGGTTGGCGATTCCATAAATATCAATTGTAAAATTGATAATTTAAAGTGCATAAAATAGAATATGTCCAAAGTAAGCAATAGCCAATTCACACGAAGGAAAAATTTTAAGCAGCCAATTGCTACATATTTTGTGTTTATACTTTAGATTATTCCTTTTATTTCCATCTATAGTATTTGTTATTTACTAGGTATATAATAACAAATTTACTACAGCTAATGGCCTCAGTTGCCGAAGCTTAAGATCAATAAAAAAAAAAAAAAAAAAATAACAAATTATGTGAAAATGTGAAATCATAACACAAACAAGTATAACTAATAACACCTTTGCTGAGAGAGAGGGTGTTACTACTGAAGACAAAATAATATTTAAATTCCTTGGTGAAACCTAATAATTGTTTATACTTTAAGTCCTTAAGTCCCTAAATGAACCAAGTTTAACGCTAGGTACTTCTATAGATAGAATAATGTACTACTACGTTTTGCACTTTAAAAAAAACAATTTTGAATCATTGCTTTGAAAAATCGATTCCAAGTAGGTACATTTGGTATGTTGCTTAAAGTGGAAAAGTACGTAATTATTTGTATACTCTGTCAGTCTGTCCTGCACGGGAACACGCGACACCCTACCATAGTAGAACCGGTATCGATGTCAGGGTGTCGAGTGGAAATGCGCAGAATGTTTTTTCGCTGGACACAGTTCAACTTAACTACAAATTCGCCAGCGCAAACCGGTGTAGATTTCCCCTTAAAACGTAAACCAGTGTGGTTATAAGAAATTCGCTGTACTATGTAATAGTTATAATCAGATTTAAAATAAGGTGGGTAAGTGGTTACCGCTCTGCTGTACAGTAGGTGTCAGGTGGGTCATTTTAATGGATGTGATAAATTGAAATTCAATGATTTATCATTGCATACTAAAAACAATTCTAAATGAAAACGGTATGTCACTGTCTGTCAGCCTATATTACTAAGTATATTTTATGATAATTAGTAATACAGTGGATTTAAAATTTTTTTGTGAAGCATTTGGAAGCTATTCCATTTGAAAATTTCAGTGTATGTATAAAATATAATATTATACTTTAAAAGTCTTAAGTACTCATGATTAATATTTTTAAATTACAACAAAATAACTAAAACCATTAATTTTCGTTTAATTATCTAATTTTGTCCAAATTTGAACATGAAATATCTATAACAAAAAATTGTTCTTATATATTTCTTAGATTTTTTGGGTACAGCATGAACTGCTTATATTAAACATTGCTTTCCTGAGCTATACAAATTAAAAATGTTATTATTTTTAGTAACAAAATAATTTTCAAATTCTAGTTAATTTAATGATTTTTATCTGAACTTTAAATACTTATAAAAATACGTTTAATATGTTTAACGTAATTATGTAACAACAGATGAGGAATGTTGTATACAACTTATTGAAAAAGCACAACATTTTTATCGATATATATAGAAAAAAATTTTAATATTTAAAATGTCGATATAAATAGCTCAAAAAGATTCAAAATATGTTGAAAATTGTATAGTGGTTAGTAAAAAGTTAATATAAATATTCTGTAAAATAATTATGTAACTAAGGTTATTTTTTTTTTCTTGAAATATAGGATCAAAAAAACAAAATCTTTGTCAGAAGTGGAAATTTGATCTGCGTAAAAATTCAAGTATTTCCTAATTTTTTTTTTTTGTTTTTGACGGAAATGTTTTATTTTTATCTCTCAAATGCACCAACTAATTTCACTTTTTCACTAGAAAAGTTACTTAAGTTGAAAATTAAAGAATCATTCTACTTCTCGTGTACACAAACACACACACATTTTAATCACATCATTGCTCCGCTCAAAATCTAATAAACCGTACTGTATTAGACTCCGATTTGAGCTGGAGAATTTTTAGACTCTTCATCCGGTCAACGGATCCGGACAATAACGACAGCGCCATCTGTCACAATCGCTTTAAATTTTTTCTCGGGTTAGCAATTATTATAGCAGTATGAACTTCTCATGGTACTTGTTTATTATTTTGTGACCAGAAGTCGCTGCCGTAAATGGTTTTTTGTTTTAGATTCTGATGTGTGATTTAATGTTGTATGTTTATTATTATTTTTCCCTGTGACCAGGCACCGTAACTGTACAATATATAAAGTAGTATACTAATATAGTACCTATATTGCAGTAGTGCCTAGAGACTAGAAGTGTACAACTCAAATTATTGCAGTTGACTTGATGGATACAAGCTGTTAGAATAAAATTATTAGGTAATATACTTTTCAATAATTTTTGGTTAAAACCACAAAATGATATCGATACGTAATATGTATATTAACATATTATTATTTATAAGCTTTTCAATTCGAACGTGCTGATATACGGTTCAAGTGTAAAACCATCTTGTAATCGCAATGAATATCAAACATTAAATATCTACTTTCTAATCTTAAAAATCATCTTATCGTCCATAAGATATCAGATATAAACATTTTAGTTTGGTAATTGGTGAAAATTTTAATTAGAAGCCTGTCTGTAAACTGGGACCACTATATTTGGCTATATTAGCAAGGAATAGTTTGTCCAAAAAAAGCTTAACTCAGCAGTTAACACTTCATTATTTAAACATTCAAATATTATATCTGGATTATTGACTGCTATTGACTAAGGAGGATAGTCATAAATAGTCTAAGTCATCTTAATTTGGAATTCTTATCTTATATACCATGGTGTAACTATAATATAATATAAAAAACATTATTAATTTATAAATATTTTAAAACGGTTTGATTTATTAGAAATTATTAACATTTCAGAACAATTTATAGATTATCATCCCAGAGCAACTTTAGCAACCACTAAATTACTATACACACATTTACGTTTATTGTCGTTTATACGGTGATTTTATAATAGCTAGTAAACAAAATATATATACGAGACTCAGCAGCACACCCTCGAAGCGCACTTTTAGAGTCTTATTTGACCGAACGGTAAGCAGGGTTAGGCAGTATCTTCGATACAAGTATCTAAAACACGTATCTTAGATGCAATTGTATCTTGTATCTTGTATCTCGATACAATTATATGAAGTATCGAGTATCGCGATACACTTATAGACAATGTATCGAATATTTCACAACATAATTTTGTCAAAAAATACTCGATCCTTTAAAAAATTAATTTTATCATAATACTACTAGGAATAAATAAAATGAATTATCCGACAATACTTTTGAAAAATTAGTATTTTTAAAAAGAAATAAGAATATGATATGATACCTATCTATATTTTATTATTATTATTTAATTGATTAAATGTAATTTAACAATGATGACTTATCATAATATATTTATAATATTATACTTAATTAATATTAGAAATTTTAAAGTTAAATGGATTTGTCTAGATTCACAGCCAACCTAATTGTGTATAAATAAAATTTTTAAAAAATCCTATGCGTCGTAGGCTATGACTAATTTTTTCAAATGCGTCGAGTATCTAAATATTTAAAATGTAAGTATCGAGTATCTAAATACTTATAATGTAAGTATCGAGTATCTAGTATCTCGATACTCCAAATCCAAGTATCTAGATACTGATTATCGCGATACTGATTTTTGAGTATCTCGCCCATCCCTGACGCTAGGTAACTCCGAGTCATACACGATAGGAAACTATAATAGTCTATAACTGATTATAATGACAAATCATCTATAGAAAGTATAGGAACCCACGACCGAACTTAAGAATTTTCTGAACTTTGGGAAAGTATAAGACACCACCCCACAAAAGTGACACATTTGTAAACCAATAATTTATTTAAAAGTTAAAACTATTGCGTATTACTGGTTTTCCAGCTAGTAATATTAATGAAATCGCATATAATGGATTTTATGTCATATAAATTATGAATAATTATGAATACTTTAATACTTATATTAGGTAGGTACTAAATTAAAATATATTCAGCCCCACACTAAAGTACTTATGATCGACACGATGATGGTACTTAAATGCCATTATATTATATATTATAAATGTATTTAATCTAATATAATATTTAATACATTTTCAGTCCGTTAAACAATTGTTGTGCCTTCATAATTGTTACGCCTCCAATTAGTATCATTTTGTCATAATATATATAATAATTACAACGCACAAACATGCTAATAAATTGAAAAGTATTGAATAAGTTTAAAACAAAATCTTAAGTTTCTCAAGGTGATTTACATTAGCAGTTGACGGTAGCGGGAGTGCACGAACGCGCGAAACATATAAGTATATTTATTTTTGATTTGTCGAGTACTGTCGTATCCACTAGTTAGTACCTAATCAACTAAATTGTAAGGAATGGTTCCTAATACAATGCTACAATAGCAACCAAGTTGAACACTCTAAGATTGATAACATCGTTAAATAAACTGACAATTAATTTGTATAACTTTTTTTATGTAATCATTATCCTTAATAGTTTTATTTAAAATATTTGTTTTATCAATTTTTAAATCATGGATTCACGAGAAAATTGGAAAACTGTATCTTTACTTGTTTGTGTATTTGCTATGATTAGAGAAATTCGACCAATTAAACCGTTTATTACCTCATACCTGAAAAGTATGAATTTTTCATTGAACCAGGTATTTATACTTAATATTGTTGCCATTAAAGTAATTTATTTTACTTAAAGTAATACAGTAGGTTGAATTAATTTTTGCTAAAAATATTCTTTAAAAGTTTCAAGTACCCACGAAATCACAACAAAATAACGGAAATCGTTATTCTTCGTTTGAATATCTAATTACGTCCAAATTTGAACTTAAAACATCTATAAAAAAAAACTGTTTTTAGATTTTTAGATTTTTTGGTTATAATATAAGCTACATACGAGAAACCTTCTTTTACATTTTCAAACCCTTTGAGCAATCAAAAAACATTTATCGACATTTAAAAAAAAAAATGCAAATGTCTTTCAATAGCTAAAAAAAAATCACAATATTTTGAAAAATATGTTATAATGTTTAGAGAATTAAAGAATAAACATTTCGTGAAAATATCAAGTACCTACGGTATTACGGTTATTCGTTTTTGAATTACTACAAAATAACAAAATTGTTCGATGAGAAATCGTTGAATTACGGGTGATTATCTTTATAACGTCGTACAATTTTTAACTCCATACACACATAAAAAATTAATTATTGTTATTAGTTTATTGCTTATTAGTTATTATATTCATTTATTCATTCCTAGTATACAAAAAATTGTAATTATAATTATATATACTTCATATTTATAACATACAATGCATATAATATTTTATAGTGAGAAATTATTAATCCACATTTTATCGTTGTAATTTTGATGTAGATCAATGAAGAGATATATGCTGTGGGGACTTACTCGTGTCTAGTATTAGCCATTGTTATATTCTTAATAACAGACTATTTTCGGTACAAACCATTGATTATTGCAGATGGAATTGCTGGAATTATTACATACTTATTATTATTAGGAACACCAAGTTTATTCAGAGTTCAAGTGAGATTTGAAACATATCCAGGCTTTCACATATATATATAATATTATATATACTATATAGATATTAACACATTAGTTATACCATAATAGTACCTACATTACAAACCAACACCAATAAATATAATCAAATCGATATCATTTTTAAATTTAACACTATAGATAGGACAGATTTTCTTTGGATTTTTTTATGCATCAGAAGTTGCATTCACCACATATTTGTATGCCAAGGTCGACAACAAACAATTATATCAAAAAATCACCAGTTTAGTGAAAGCATCTATATTATTCGGCAGATTCCTGTCTGGTTTAATTGCACAAATTATTGTTTCCACTAATCTATTGGACCAGGATTATCTACTGTACATTAGTATTTTAAGTATGTATCATTAAATTAATAATTGTGTTCATAAAAGTACCATTGTAACTTTTTGCTTGAATTTATTGATAACAAGACTTTTGATACAATGTATGACAATTATTTTACTGAATTTGATATAAACATATTAAAACTTGGTAGAAAATTAGTGAAATGCATTTAACTATAAAGTTTTGAGTATAGGATAAGTAGATGTTAGACCAACCTGATCACACTTATGTTATGACATTATGCTAAATGATTTGTAATAAGTATCTGTTAATTAGATAAAGTAATTATATTACCTTTACTTATGATATAACAATTCTACTTTTATTAAGTTTAAACAATTTATTTTAATTGATAGTTGATATCATATTATATTATCTGGTATGAAAATATTAGAATATTTGAATAGGTATGTCATGCCAGGGTTAGGTGAGCCGTCATGGCCCTATATGGCCATCCATATTTTGAATCATTATACTGTATAATTATTTTATAATAATATGCAGTACAAAATAAAATGCATAAGTATTTTGAATAACAATATACTTATTGAATAATTATGTTATTTAGAAGTTCATTTTCTATGTATAAATGCATATTTTTAATAAAAATATAGTTGAAAACGTAGTGTCTGTTATCGTTATATTATAACCTCCTTGTACCTACTTCTTTGATATTATAAGAAACTCAATTAAAATTTATAAGTAGAGTTTGGATTTTGTAGACATTTTATTTTGTTTCTAAAACGAAGCTATGTCACCTTTAAATTGATTTATAATGTTTAGCAACAATAAAATGCATGACATTTTTTTAGTTTTTTAAAAAAAAATTTTTTAAAATTTTTTTGTGCTTTTTGACTTTTAAGTAGGTACTTGTAAAATGTTAAGTACCTAGTATAATCCCATTAAAAAAATTTAGTATTAATACAATTGATTAGCACAATACACAAAATGGAACAATATTACTTAAACAGGCTCCAGATAAAATAAGAAAATTGATTGTCAGAAAATTAAAAAACGTATTTGATAAAAATGTTAATTTGAAACACAATTGAAACTGTATCTGCAATTTAAATCATGTAAAAACTTCAGGGAATCTCAGAAGATATGACACAAGACTAAATATATAGTATATTTAAAATTCACGGCCATGGTTTCTGTTGATGTCGAAAGAAGTTTCTCTATTTATAAAAATATTAATCATTCGATGCAACTCGGATATTGCAGGTAAAAATACTTAATTTAAAAAAATATCTGAATGGAGAGTCAGAATTAAAAGTAACATGTTGGCCTAGTGTGTTGGGCTAAAAATTCGTTGATCATCGATGTATCGAAATTTCGATATATTGCATGCCCATTATCGATACCATGATATATCGACCTCTGTTTCATCGATGTATATACAATATATATCATATTATAAGAGTTATTAATGTTACATAAAATTATTGTTGAGTTATGAGTATTTATTTTTATTCTAAAACTGCTTGCCTCTTATGAATTTGGCTATTTAAATGTGTGTATGTTAATTGTAATTCATTTTAATGCAAATACATGATTATATAAACCTTTATTTCTATATTACCTATATATTCCTATTTTATAAACTATACTTTATTTTGTGAACCAATGTGTGCTTGGACGCAATCAGGATATTTATATTCTGTGCGTCCCAAACGACTCCCGTCCATCGTCCACTGCTTTAATTTAGATTTTAGAGCTTTTTTGTTTCATTTTAAGAGATTTTATATAGTCATATAGAGTGATAGAATCCAAATTCTTTAGTCTATTTATAATTAATAAATGTATTATTGGTAACTTAGAGATACAGTCGTTCTGACGTACATGCATATTTACAGTACACAGTATGCATTTAGTTGTTATTGTTACATTTTAATTAAACATATATTGTAGGTACTTGAACTTAATAATTAAAATTATCTCGATATTTTCAAATTTTTTTTTATATTATTAATTTAATTTGTACTGGATCTAGACAAGTGCTCACTCGATACTCATTATTAACTAATAGATAAGTAGGTTTATACATATAGCCTATAGGTTCCTGTACCTACTTATAAAACTGAAATTAATATTAAAATACAACAACAATATTAATATATAGTTTTAATAACTTTAATTGTTATTTTATTTCTAGGTACTTCATTTGTAACGATTTGGGCATTTTTTTTACCAAAAGTGAAACACAGTCTTTATTTTCATACAAAAAAGGAATTTAGAGAAAACATTCAGTTGCATCAATCTGATAATGAAGTTACCATTCCTGAAAATGCAGCAGTATGTTATTTTGAATAAATTATATTGTTACAATGGCTTATGATTATGAAAAGGGGGGGGGGTTTAAGCAGCAGCGTAATTTCAGTTTTTTTCCAGATGTGCAAGATTTTAGGCAGGCCAATTTTAATATTTCACCAGTTAGGTGAAAAATGTTTATATATAAATGAAGATATAAATGTATAATGTATATTAATATTATCTCTTTTCCTTCTATATAATCCTAATTTACTCATATCAACTAATTTACTTTGACTCTTGACTCTTGTTTACTTCCTCAAGAGGACTGACATCACTCGTCAACAAACATATTGAACGCCCAACCACAACTTTAAGACTGAAGTTATATTCATCAAATGTACTACTTACCACATTTTACAAGGCTCTCTAAGTAACACTACCTGTCAGTAACTGGTGCGAAATATTATTCGAATAAATTTATAGAAGTAATTTATAGATAATTGCTCTAGGAATAAAACACGTCTCACGTAAGAATAAATTTGATAATAAAGCTGATAAAAAAAAAAAAATAAACATAAAAAAAAAATAATTGTATATAGCTAATTTACTAAAATATATACTTCAATGAAACCTCCCTTAACGGACACCCCTAAATACCGGACACTCTAAATAATGGACACTTTTATGGTAATTTAATTTTTGATTTTGACAATTTTTATCATAATTAAGAATAATCGTGGAATGCCTTAATAAATAACAATCTCTCTATCTAGTCTAATTTTCGGACTGTTAATTATTGTACTATGTACAATAAAAATTTATCTTATCCGTCCATTAATGTGTTGATGAAAACATTTTTCTAGTTTATGTTCTGTGATGTTATCTAACTCGTATTTAGTTGTGTTAGTGATTCTATTACATACGGATGTATTCTAAAACGTGTTAGTAAACGTTTGTTAGTAAAATGGCTAGTAAACGAAAAAGATTAAGTCTAAAAGAAAAAACATTTACATTTTCATTAATTTTTACATACATAATAATATCATCATTTTAAATAATAATAATATGTAGGTACAACTGATATTTATTTATTTATAGTAAAAATAATACAAATATACATAGGTACCTATGTCATTATTAAACATATTATATAAATTGTGTATATATTATGTTATTATTAATTTCTCGGAGTTATTATCAACAATTTTTTTCCCTCTGAATAGCGGACACCTCTAAATAATGAACAAAATGACGGCGATCGAGAGTATCCGAATTTAGAGGTTTCACTGTATATTATTATATATTACAAGCATATATTTTAGTTTTTCATTCATATTTAATAGTTAATTATACTCATAGGAGCATTAGTGGAGGGCCAATATTATTAACACTATTATGTTAGTGGGGCCATCGTACACCCTTTCCTTCTATTATATAATATGCTATACATGTTTATCATATATTATTAATTGTTAAATTATTTTAAGGTATTAGCTTTTGAGTTAGAATAATTATGAGCTTAAAATAATTAATCTAAATATTTTAAAAATGTCATTGTGGACTGATTTAAAATAAAATAAAATTGTTAGTAACGTAAAAGTTTCAAAGCCCCTCAAATCATATTTTTGGATACAACAAAAGAATTAAATTATTTATTCCTTGTTTTAATATCTAATTTTGTCAAAGTTTGAATTTCAAAACTTCAATTATCTAAAAATAAAAAATTGTAATAATATATTTTTTATATTTTTTTGTTTCAGTATAATAATATTACTTATACCCTTAGGTTTTGTTTTAAATTATCGAGCCTTGCCTAAAAAATTGAACATTTTATACATTTTTAATTACAAACTAACTTGTATAATTTTTGTTATATTTTTCTACTATAAACCTTGTATAGAGACACTAGACTACTAAACAATCATAAAAAACACACATTGTAATGGTATTACGTATCAATACATTCATCTTTCCACTCAGAATCTAAAATATCTATTGTTTATAAATACAATATAAATATATATATATTTAATATATTTTTCTAATCAATAAGTTAATTTATTAATAATCACAAACAAAAAAAAATTGTTATTGATTATCATTGCAGAGATATAACAATAGTTTATAGTTTTATACATATATAATATATTCCCACATAGTTTATGATTTGTGAGTATACCGTTTACTTGTAGGTTTATTAAATTCTCCCTACATAAGAGTGTAGAAGTAATATAGTATACCAAAAAACATGTTATTATATATCACATATTCTAAAATATTTACGACAAATTCCATTTGTTTGAAACATTTTAATTGATTTATATACTTTATAGAATAATGTTCCTAAAACTTCAAAATTAATTAAAATTACAAAAGTTAAGCAGATGATTTTTGATGATTTTAAATCTGCATACAAAAATACTTATGTAGTGAAAAAATGTTTTTGGTGGATATTTGCATTCGTTGGTCATTTTATAGTAAGTACTAAGTGTATTATAATTCTAATTTGATTTTTTTTTTACTGTTACCTTATTCTCTAAGGTTGGATTGTTTATTCAAGTTTTATGGGAGGATGTTAACAATAATAAAAAAGATCTGATGAATGGTGCTGCCGAATCTATACACACTCTTTGTGGTATTGTAACAGATTTTTTTATAGTGTTTAGAAAATAGATAACTATTATTTAGCTAAAATAAAGAATAACTATATTGTTTAATAATAGGTGCAGCAGGTGCATACTCAGTTGGTCACCTGCACTATGATTGGAAAAAATTTGATGATATTATATTTACCATTGGAACATTTGTTTTGGCTTTATTATTATTCATTTTATATTCTTGCAATACGTTATGGATATTATATCTAGTATACATAATATTTGGTACTTGTTTCCAAGTATTGTTAACTATCACTACGTATGTATTTTTATTTTACTGGTCATTTTCCAGAAATGTACAAGTGCAAATCAATTCAAATTTTTTTTTAATCGTTACATAATTTCGGTTGAAACTTATTAGTTATTACTTACCTATTATACTTCCTTACAATAGTACCAACACTTTTAAAATATTATAAACCTAAATATTCTTTAAAACATTTGACTGAAGAAGTTTTTTAAACGACCAACTATTCTTTCAAGGGGTGTCGTGATATAAGCGCAGAACAAAAAGAGATAGGTACACGTTATTTAGGGGGTAAGGGTATATAATATAGGTACTTTTCATTTATAGTAAAATAAAATAAGTTCTTGATCTGAAATTCTGAAATATTATTTATTTAGGTAATGGTTATCCAAGATTCAAACTGCTCTAAGAATTGCCTACCTCGTAATAACTTATGGAATCATTTATATTATAATTTTATGCATTGAGTGTTAAGTATAAAATGGCCTCCTTTGGAATTCATCTCCTAACATTTTTTAAAAACCACATTTAAATGTTATGATCAATTTTAACAAATGTATATGTTTAAACTTATTGACTTGCACTCTCCGAAATAAAATATACAATATATTGATACTAGTATACTGCCTATACCACCTATTTCACCTATGGGTGCAAATCCATTGAAACTGTTTGAAGGGAGGGGAGGGGGAGGTGTTATTTTTCAAAAGAACCTAAATCGTGGGTGGCTTTTCCCCTTCACAATAAATATTGGACTTTTGGAGGAGCCCCCCCACCCCCGATTACCACCTATTCACCCATCGGTGTTCTAATCACCTAACGTGTACGATGTACGTGTTAATCCTCGACAATTGTTTTATTTCTACAAATTCCCTTTCAAATCTAACCCTCTGTGTAGATTATCCATTTATCTGTCTAATATATTTATATTATTAATATTTTAGCTCTGAAGTTGCAAAATATATAAAACCGGACAGTTATGGACTAATATTTGGTTTTAATATGTTCATGTCATTGTCGATTATCTCAATATATACATTATTATTTATCCAAGGCTTTATTGTTGCAATAGGGACAACAAGTCAAGTAAGTTATTTTATATAGGTATATACCAATTTTGTGTGTACTATGGTTAATGAAATTTTTTCAAAGTTGATATGTATGTAACTTGTATGTATTTATAACATTATTAGGCAAGTATAGGTACTATCTTTAGAACAATACTATTTCTATACCATTATTCTTCAAGTTGATCAAAAAAATATATCTATTATGTAGGTACTCTAAAAACGTATCTAATAGTGATAATGACCACATACAATTAAATCTCTATTTTTTTTCAATGAAATCTAAAAAATATGACCATGCGGCATGCACCATGTTAGTTCATATTTACAATAAGTCCGTGTCTGGGTGTCCGAGAGAGATCCATGGTCTTTAGACTCTCCTTCACTAACTAAATAATTAAACACTATTTTTTTTTGTTCATAATTAGGAAAATGTTGAAATATATATTAATGGCTATTGTAGTATTGTAAATACCACATGTCGTGACAATTACCATGTTCTATAATTTGATGTCCAGGTTATAACAGGAGACCTGACAAATTAAATAACTTTGCAGGTTCTAATCAATATTTTTTAATTTTAAATGTATTATTTCTTATTATTATTTTTGACTCTTATTAGAGATACATATTACTAGAGACAAATTTTGATTTCAAAACATTTATTTAAGTCATTTAGTTTATTTTTTTATCATTTTAAAAAATGTTCAATTTTTTTGAAGTAAGATTCATTGATTTAAAAAGTAATGACTTTTTAAAAAAAATTTTTACTTTAACAAATACTTACTTATTCGAAAATTCTCAAAATATTATTAAAAAAGTTTATACTTTTTGAATTTGAAATGTTTTTTTACGACTGTATGAACATAACCTAATAAAAATAATGAGATTTCAAACAGTTTTAAAAATAAACTACATGACTTAAATAAATGTTTTTACAACCAAGATTTTTCTAAAAAATAGGTTTACAAATTGGCCATTTTTATTTTATTAATTTTCAGTATTATTAAAAAATAAAAATAAAAAAATGTTACATTATAGATTCAATCAATTATATATTAAAAAATATTAATTATAACAAAAGTGATTTATTTTGTCAGGTCTTCCTGTTACACTCTGTACATATCACATAAACGTTATTTCGTCAAATGTTTAGGATGATGTCATATCTGTGACTATATTATAGTGAGTGAGTGGAATCGAAACCCTAGCTCACGATTTGCAAATGCGGGATTTTTAACGCGTACTCCTGAAATCTATATAAGTAATTTAATTTTAAACGTATTGCAGTAATAAGTTCTCCAAGAAAATTATGGTCATCCTCGAAAGCCATTAATTTGATGTGCTACTTTTCTGAGAATTTCCAACGCCGATTTATGATTGTAATACGTAAAAAATTGTATGAGACAGAAACCTTAGTAGGGAGGTACTCTTAATAATCTTGCCTAATAGTGAGGTTTCTTTTTCACGCACTAAAATTAGATAATTCTAAATTCTAATTGCCAATTGGTACGTAACAACCCGAAACAGTCTATATAATTACACAGTCTTGTGTTCACGACCACATGATAGACTAATAAATCCAAACTAATCTAGAGTACAACGTACAACCCTTACACATACAGTTATACATAATTATAACAAATCAAAAAATAAAAAGTTTAACTTTACTTTATAGATATTTTCAGTTTCTATGATGTTTGCTTCGATGTCTGCATTGTTATTTATCGTGGCTGTTTGGAAATTCACCAATTCTGGGAAATAACGAAGAATGCTGTATTTAAAAAAAACATTTACCTGTAAATTGTAATATTAAATATTTAATTATTATTCACAAGTCATCACTTTCTCCTATATACCTCAATAATCAGACCACTTCTAACGTATGCCTGCCCTGTTTGGGCGACAGCCTCGCCCACTAAAATTAAAAAAATCCAAACCCTCTAAAACAAATTCCTTAGAATTTGCCTTAAAGCACCTTGGTATATGAGGAATCGCCAAATACACAATGATATTGGAATATCCCTAATAAATATCTGGATTAAAACCCAATTTAAAAACTTTCACGCCAAGCTGAAAGACTCGGACGGAGCCGGCCATTACTAACTAAGAAAGAAAACCCAAAATAGGCGACTGCGACCTCGACTGCCCCAAGACATTCTCCTATCAGCCACTGAAGAGCTCTCATCGGAAGATGAAGAATAAACCAACAAATAATGTCAAACCTAACTATGAATTATTATAGCACTGTAATCACTAACATAAATGTAAATATTAAATTGTAATCGTAATTGTAATGCGTAATGTATCGTACTTGTAATAGCACCTAATGCGCTGAAACATTTTAAAAATAATAAACGAAAAAAAAAATTATTATTCATAAATAAAAATCGATTTAATTGATTGTAATGGTCCGTGTCTTGTGCGGGGTGGTGCAATATGCATACGTACAATGTACATAAATACATACGTATTAGATATATACATAAATTCCCTATACTCACACGACACAAGAAACACATAAAGAGTACCCACGTCTCCTCACTCTCGCCAAATACGAACGGGCGCTCTACGAAACGGGAGCTAAACAAAGTAATACAGAATTTGATATGTTATACTTTATACTAGCTCGTTTTTACTTTACCCCGTAACCGTAATAACATCAACAAACAAGTGATAATATACGCAAGATGTTTCTTCAAAACCGTTCTCAGAAATATCATGCAGGTTTGTACTTTGCTTTTTATTGCATAAGATGTATACCATAACACGGCCAATGGTGGGAGCCTAAAGTCCCCTAAACCTTCCCCCTGGGTACACCACTTCATAGATATAATTGTATGTATATTAATATATTTATATTTATATATTTATATATATTCCTATACGTTATAACTTTTCATCAAAACAACCTTAGCGACTTGCCAAAATTTAGGTACTTCTTGTGGTCCGATTAAAAAAAAAGAAAGTATGTTTGAATAATTGATAAACAAGTCTACTTTGCATCGGTTGGAGCATATATCATTGTATTTTTTATATCTTTTAATATATTCAATATTAAAAGTTGACAAATTTATAAAATGTCAAATATTTATCCTCGTCGAGAATTTGCTAAATTTGAAAAAGTCCTCCAACCGATGTTTTGAATATTTTTATTTAGTGACTAGTGACTACTGACTAAATAACATGTGCATACGGGTGCGTAATATACTAATACATATGATTAGGGTGATTGGTGGGGAATACACATACACAAAGACGACCAGTGGCAGCACGGAACAAAATAATTGCCTATACCGAACCCCTTAAATTGTATGTTTGCAACCCCCTTAAGAATTTTAAATATTTATACAAGTAGGTACATCGCATAATTTTAATTAAAATTAAAAAGTTAAGAATGAGGCCTGTGATTACTTTATTAAACATCTAATGACCTAACGAAAAAACCATAACGCGGGATGATCCTAGAAGGTATGCATTACACGTTTGAAATAATTATTCCTAATAATCCTCACGTTTAAAACAACTCGGTAGCGATGAGAGAATACTTTATTAGTTATTACCTATAAAGAGTGATTAAGAGCTCAGCTCATACTTAACTTTAATGGTTGCCAGTTGGAAACATACAAATATTTAAACATGAGCTGAGGAGAAGAGAAAGATAATAGTCTATCATATAATATGATGACGTTTTGAATAAGTTTTAAAAAATAGTTTTTAGGAGCACAACAAAGTTTAAAAATTGCTGAATATAATGTTTTAAAGACTATATAATGTATACATGTTATGTATTTAGGTAGGTACGTAAATTTATTCATCGCCCAAATAATGATTAATCATCGGATGCATTAAAATAAGTATAAGTGTAATTGAACAATTGAAAATTATGAAATATTTCATATCCATTGGTTTATTTTCAAAATTGTATAGCAAATTTGTTTTAAATGTTGGAATTTATCCAATAACCATTTTATCTAGCTATAGTATATAGCAAATCCATATTGATAGGTATTTACTTATTATTTTTAATATTAGTATGAATTTATTTATGCTCAGATTGCAAAACAATTACCTACACCTTATTTCTATTGCGTTATTTGTTCTAGGAAAATCTTCCGAAACCCCATTACCTATTTACTATGATAATTTACTATAATTGACTATCTGTATAATATGGCATAGGCTATCTTCATAGTTATTTATACCATACTAGTACTAGACCTATAAACTAATGTCTAATGTCTATGATTTATACCAATAGATGGCGCAACTTACGACGTAAACACCGAGTCCGTACTCATCACGATTTAAGATAGTCTATCTTAAATCGTGGTACTCATTTTCTAAGCCCGTGATAGTGGTGATATCAACTACCATAAGTACTGATTAATATTTGATAAGCGCCATGTGCAGTCGTGCAGAATGCCCATAACTATTTACTTACCTGGTTCATAAAAATTAAATAAACAGTAATACAGTTGTATATTATGCATTTATATTATCTCTAATGTTGCTCACAGATCACTGTTTCACACGCTCAGACGCTCAATATTGAATAACAAAGACAAAATACAGATAGTATTTTTTGAAATTTAAATGCTCAAGCAATCCTTATACAATAGTTTCAAGTCTGAAGTCGGTGCTACTATAACAAAACAAATTACAAACTAGCAGGCTACAAATAAATTATATTTTAAATTGAATAATATTACAATATTAAGCAATTTTTTTCATTTTTTAAAAATGAATTCAACTCGTGAAATTATAACATTGCAGTTTGGTCATTATTCTAATTTTATTGGCACTCACTTCTGGAATTTACAGGTTTCTTTTCTCTGCGCTTACACACTACTATTATTAGTTAAATTAAATTATTAAATATTAAAATGATCTATTTTATAGGAGGCAAGTTTTACTTATGAAGAAAACAATAAGTCACTGGAAATATGTCATGATGTCTTGTATAGGGAAGGTGTAAATTTAAAGGTGGGTAAATATAAAACTATTTGTCCCAATATTTTTTACTTGTAGAATTTATGATCAGATATTACTATGTTCTTAAGAAAATAATAAAATGTTAATAATTGTCTTCAAAGTTAGTAATATAAAACAGGTAGGTACCTAATAGAGTAAGAAGTAATAACTAATAAGTAGTAACAAAATGAAATATTATGATTAGTATATACTATTGTAGTATACTTATTGGACCTCAGAGTGATTTCTTTGAAGTCAGAAACATATTTTTTAAAGTAATAATTAATAAATGAATTTGATAAAAATGTTTTCTTGGTAATTAGTATGATACATTTATAGTTCAAAACTTCTATCATAAGTTCTATGATTATCAGTTAAATGTGTGCACTGTCAATTTGTAGTTTTATCATAGACATATAAATTAGTAGATCGGGAATAATAGATGTTTATCTCATAACATAATGAAGCCAACATGTGTGAGAGAAACAGACAATATGAAGTCTTTTTATGTCTATGATTTTCATATTGTCAGCTATACTTGGAAAAATTCCGAGTTCTAAATAAAAAATAAAAAAAAAGCAATAATCCTCAATTAAATATCATCTTTAATCATACTCCCAGAAAAGCAATAACTGATTTAGTTTTAAACTAATAAAACAATCAGTTGGTCGCCAAATATTCTAATGATATGACTAATCTTATATTATTATTTATTTTCTTTAATAGCTACCTATTACCTATAAGTAGGGTTGCCAGATTTTAAAATCACCAAACCGGGACATCATATTATTAGATCTTTTTTTTTTTTAGTATTGTTAGTATAATTATATGGATACATGAAAATAATAAATATCCGTTGTTTTATTTAAAATTAATAAACCAATACAATTTTTTTAACATAAAATTATATTTTGTATTCTATATTATATCTAAAGACTAATCGCATAGAGACAGGATAACAAATAAACCTGAAACTTTAGATAACATAATACGATAATCATATAATGATGTAATAATATTATGTACAATATTGAATCATGTTTTGTTATTAAATAATACAATATTAAAGTTATTTTCACTCGGCTTCCATTAACCGGGACAAAATTAATGACCGGCCGAGACATGCTGTTAAAATCAGGTTTGTCCCGGACAAACCGGGACAAATGGCAAGCCTACCTATAAGGCTGTATATTAGAAATTCAACTCTACTATATTACTATAGTATATATATTATTAATATTAATTTAAAAATTAGAAAACTAGAAAGTAAGTGTAGATTTTTAGAAAAAACTAACTGAATAATTAATTGACTTTATTGATAAAACTTAAAAATGAAAAAAATACCTACAATTATGATCAATGAAATGAGATGTTATGTTCATTAGTAAAATTATTACTTATTAACTTATGAAAGGGTATTGTTATTTAGTTAACAATTGTAGCTGCAATATTAAGCAATGATCCAATTTCATATATAAAATTATAATTATTTAATAGCAACTTGGAGAACCAAAGTTAATCATGTTTAACAACAATAGAATAAAAACAAATTGAGGTAAATATTAAAATATAGTTGGTTCATTCATACTCATTAACCTATTTTTATCATGAATGCACAAATACCAACTGGGTGATTATAATATTAAATAATAGGACTAAGATTCATTCTAATAATAATATATAAATTTATTTATTTGTTTAAGGTACTTAAGTAATGTATAATCTATTATTATATAATATTAATAAAAAAAATTTGAATCTAGAAATACTGAATAAACCAAAATTGTATTTGGTTACTAACATATTTAATTACATTATTCTTAAATAAAATGTATTAAGTATTAGACATTTGAGAAAAAATGTTGTCATAAATATAACTTAAACTTAAGATAATGATGATTAATTAAAATTGTAAAATAGGGCGAGGTTACCTATACTCCTCGTATGCTGTGTGTTGATCTTAAGAACAGTTTTTACCAATTGCCAGATGTACACGGAGGCTTATATGATCTAAACTGTAGCAATACAGATGAAGAGATATTTAATTCTTCAACTAAAATTCAAACTATACAAGAAGAAAAAATTCCTAGCAATGAATTTTTTTCCGACCTAGCCAAACAAGAACTATTTATAGGTAAGTTTTAACTTAAGTTCATGATGGTTATTTTGAGTATAATTGTTCTTTCTACGTCAGGTAGATTTTTTTTTGTTCAGTTCTAATCAATTTTTCTATTTCTTGTTTTTCTTCACTCAATAAAGAATGCGATTTGAATACCTACCAATTGATGTGCAAAATAAAATAAAAATGTTTTGTATACTATATTTCAGATGGTGATAGTGAGAAAATAAATATAGCTGAAAAAGTATACAATTTAGATAACGATGTTAAAATTTGGTCAGATTTTTTGAAAGCTCGTTTTCATCCAAGAACTATTACATCAATCGATGAGTATAAACACAATGATTCAAGTAATGTGTTTAATAACTTTGCACAAGGACTTGGATTATGGGATTCATATAAAATGAAAGAAACTTGGACTGATAATTTAAGATTATATGCGGAAGAATGTGATTATTTACAGGTACATTAAGTTTTGAGCTTTGAGCAATGTCTTACAATTAATTTTGAAAAGTAAAACACTGTATCTTTAATTAATTAGATACTAGCCATATGTCAGCAATTATTGTCATCGCAATATTGGCTGATAATGATTTTCAATTGTCTGTTTAAATTGCCAAAATTATTCTGCTCATATATGTTTTTTTAAATAATATTATAAGTTAATTTTATATTTATGATTTAGGGATTCCATACTTCAATGGATTCGTTGAATGGCTTTGGTGGTTTAGCTTGTAAGGCATTAGAATACTTAAAAGACGAGTATTCCAACAAAAATATTATTGCTATGCCTGTAATGTCAGATAATTATATTCTTGAAGATGAAAATTCCGAGTTACAAGCAGTTAACACCTCATTATTATTTTCTTCACTATTCGAACATTCAAATATGTTTGTGCCATTGACTACATCATCCGGTGGATGGATAAAGAGCCAAAATCATCTTAGTTTGGATTACTTATCTTACAAGGTAAAGTGTAACTATAATACATTTATACACATGTCTTAATGATTTATCTAATAATGGTTTGATTTATTTACAATTTACATTTTAGAGCAATTTAGATTATCATTCCAGTGCTATTTTAGCATCAGCTATAGACACATTTACATTGGGCTATAGAAGTCGTTTTGACAACAGTAGTATGCAAAATATGTGTACCAGGTTGACCCCTTTGGGGCGAAAAGCTGTATCGGCTTCAATACAACTCCCTCTTGGATTTGAATCAAAGTCAAATTTACTTGATTACTTACAGGATGCAAAATTACCCTTATGGAAACCCATTTCACCTCAGTGTACTACAGAAATGTCTGTGGCCCAAACAATTGTTTTAAGAGGCATAACTGAAAACATGCTGTACTCAAAGTTAGTATTTAGTGATTATCAAGTTTTGTTGTATCAAATTGTATAATAATATAGCTAGTAAATAATTACTATTATTATTTATTATATCTATATTTTTTTTTTTTAATTTCAGTAATCTCATTAGAGATTCAAAAAATCCCTCTCATCATTGTACATCACCTGGCGATTTGCTCAAATTATTTATATCTTTTTGTGATCATGTACGAATGACAGAAGTTCATTCATTTGATTCATCGTTAGAAACCATAGCACCGTTCCCTAATATATTTTCTCAATCTATTAATCAGCATGGATTTGTAGAATCATCATCTAGATCATCTACTTCTGGTAACTATTGATTTTTTATGATAAAATCAAAAAATATTGTCAATATTAATGCTTTGTGTTTTATTAATTTTCAAATTAGTGGTCGCGAAAAGTGCAGCTATTAGTGGTTTACATAACAGTAATTCAATGAGAGATATGTTCATAGCTTTGAAGAATGATTCTAGTAAAGTAAAGGGCTCAAAATTGAGTCACATGTTTAACAATGAGATTGATGTAATGGATTATAAAGAAACTCTCGAAAATCTTTTTGTTTTGAGTGATAATTATTTAATAAACGACTGTTTATAACTTATCAATTAGTTTTTCGGAAGATTATATTATGTCAAAAACTAAAATATTAATATTTAAAATAAATAAATAAATTTTTTTACATCTAAATACGATATTATTATTATTTGTGTGTGTATATATTTATTATTTATTATGTGCTAATTGAACTATTACGTATACAATAAAATATGTCATAAGTTTCTCAAGGCGATTCACGTTCATATTATGGTTTGTGTGTGAATACGTGTGCGCGCGCGCGCGTATGGACAATATAAAATAAACATATTATATTTGTCGAGTATTATCGTTTGCATTAGTTGGAAATGTACTGTATTACTCATAAGTTCGACTGATCAATCTGTTAAAACAATTACCAAATTCAACATCCTCTAATTGATAACAACATTAAATAGGTGGTTTTTTTTTTAATTGCATGTACCCAACGGTTTAATTTAAAATATTTTTTAAACAATTTTGAAATCATGGAAACATGGGAAAATTGGAAAACTGTGTCCTTACTCGTTTGTGTATTTGCTATGGTTCGAGAAATACGACCAATTGAGCCATTTTTCACGTCATTCCTCATAAGTATGAATTTCACATCAAACCAGGTATTTACTTTGACTTTTTAATCGTATTATTATTTTAAAGGTCTTATTCTAAATATTTTGAGTTTTTAAATTAAATAAATATTTTAGTAGGTACTATGTTTTAAACGGGCATGAGTAAAAATATAACTAATACGGCTAAAATCGAAATCAAATAGTGTACAGGTACAAGATAATCTGCCTTATATTTAGTAATAATATTTATCAACTGTTTAAATAAAAAAAATTATCTATTAAAGAAATTAATCGTTGGGAATTATGTCATTTATACGTAATAATATTTTCTTATGTGATTTTTTCCCGCGTAAATTTGGTCTGGTGAAATTATTTTCTTGATTTTGAATTCTTATGTATTATTTTCCCAGATATTATTATCCCTATTCATAGTATCATGAATGTACAATTCTTAAAAATAATTTTGCTTCAAAATATTTTCCTAAAATATACTTTCCGGAAATTGATTTTACTGATAAGTATTTTTCAGATAATATTAATTGTTGCCATAAATCGTCATAAAACAATTCCTTACAAATATTTTTCCGAATTTAATTGTTCCTGGCGAAAAATACGCTTCGCCTTTCCCACCGCGTAAAATCTAAACATAATATATAATATTTAAAATACTTAAAAAATATTAATCCGTTTTTTTATCATTGTGATTTTGATACAGATCAACGAAGAAATATATGCAGTGGGAACTTACTCGTGTCTAGTATTAGCTGTTGTAATATTCTTAGTTACAGATTATTTTCGGTACAAACCATTGATCATTGCCGATGGAATTGCTGGAATTTTCACATATGCGTTACTACTAGGAACACCAAGTTTATTTAGAGTTCAAGTGAGCATTGAAACAACTCCTGTATAGCTTAATATAATATACCTCTATAGGTGCTAACAATATTAATGACCAATACTAAGAATAATGAATATAATTTTTCAATTAAAATACCATCGCAGATGGAACAAATGTTCTTTGGATTTTTTTATTCATCAGAAGTTGCGTTCACTACGTATTTGTATGCCAAGGTCGACGACAAACAATATTATCAAAAAATCACCAGTCTAGTGAAAGCATCTATGTTATTCGGCAGATTCCTGTCTGGATTAATTGCGCAAACTGTTGTTTCAACACACTTACTGAACCAAGTGTATCTACTATACATCAGTATATTTAGTATGTCTCATGAAATAAATACTTGTATTAATACTTACGTTATTAGAACTGTTTACTTTAATTGAATGGCCAATAAGATAAAAAAGCACTGCAATTGTATTATTAGGTACTGAACTTTAAATGAGCTCATTTCAGCTTGAGAATTATCTTGAGAGCACCTAACTAATTATAAAATATATTATACATGTTTTAATTAACCGTACAATAATACACCTTAAATAAAAATATGAATTTTGGTAATGTTATTTTCTTGTTAACAATATTCATAGGCGTAGTGTGATGCATATATGTGGGGAGGGAGGGGGGCTATAGACCATAATGTTTCGGGTACACACTACACAACATAATATATTCTAAAAATGTAACCAGACAACAATTTACGGGGGAGTTAAAGTTATGAACTATACTTAACTGTACCTTAGTTCACTTATGCTATTTATTAAGGTACACTTTGCGCCATATATTCCGGGCGCCTTATAAGTGGCAGAAATCAGTCCAAAGGCCAGAACTATTTTCAAATGATGCGTGGTCATGACAGAGAGTCGTAAAATTAAAAGATCAAAACATTAAAAACACGAAATCGAGGTGAATGAGCAGATTTGAGTTTGTTCGCTATATGCGTCTGGAGCTCGTAAAAATAAATTATTTTGTAAGGCTTTCACACCTAAGAAGCAAATAAAGACAATTTTCCACTAAAAAACTATTGAGGCTGAAAGGTTAATCAAATAAGTCCTGATTTTTAAATAAGTTTCAACTCAAAGAAAAATTGTCAGTTCACTTTATGAAAGCCAAAGCACATAAATATGTAAATAATACCATAGGCATCCTAATAAATGTAAAAAAAAGGTATTCAGATTTCGGGCCAATAAAACGACTAAACGAAATTATTACTGAAAACCACTAGGTGTATAAGAATAATATTAGTAATAGAAGTACATGCAATAGTGAGCCATGGATTTAATCTTGTGTTGATTTTTAAAATTATTTTTTAAATGTACTATAACTATGTATTACATAATACCTACGTAGGTTAGGTAGTTAATATAAAAAATTAAATCAATTATTTTTTTGAAAATTTCTGAATCTAGGTCTCACGCTTTTTCGATTAGGGCTAATACTTTGGTAAACAATATAAATTATACTGATACATTAAAAGCACTAATATATATCACAACAGGCTGACAAAACAGCAGCATTCTGTTTTCCGACGAATACGATACAAAATGGAATCAATTAAACATTATTTTTAATTTTGAACTTCTATTATTATTATTTTTTTTTTACCATTTTTTTTTATTCTTCGAGAAGATAATGGGCCCCACTGAAGTATGACGATACAAAACATATAAATAATTATTTAATAACGAGAAATGTTATGTCTTGACAAATAAAATAAATGTTATTTTATGTGCATCATCTCGATGACTTACGGACTATGATCCAATCTTCAACCATTTTTGTACAAAAACTCATATCAGATTTTAATTTTAGATTCTGAGCGGAGCGATGAATATATTGATTTAACAATGATGTGTGTCTTTTGTGTCCGTCAACGCCTTTTGGTGCAATACCATTGCTTCGATTTTCTTCAACAGCATCTTTTCTAGTAGAAAAGTGAATTAAGTTGGTATTTTGAGAGGTCAAAGTAAAAAATGTCCAATAGTTTTCAAAATTGCCGGGGAAAACCAAAAAAAATTAAGGAAAAATGGAATTTTTATGCAAAACCGGTTTTTGACAAACATTGATTTTGGTTTTTTCTAAAACAAATAATCCTAGATAAATGAAATTATTACTGAATGTTTATATTAACATTTTCTATACACTACAAAATTTTCAAAATATTTTGACTTTTTTTGAGCAGTTTACGGACATTTACAATTTCCAATTTGTTTCGTATTTTTCTATAAATGTTAATATTTTATTAGTTATGTCAATAAATGTCCACTGGGAAGTCAAATTAAATTTTTATGAACGTTTGAAGTTGAAATGTATACAACATTGCATTCACTCGGTTTCTTTTGACATTCACCATATGTTTATTTTAACAATTCATGTAATTACTTGAAAATTTTTCAAAATATTTTGACTTCGTAGTTCGTTGGAAGTATCTAAATAAGGAAAGAAGTATGGACTTTTTAACACGCCTATAAGTCGTCTAAACCTACCTATTAATCATCATAAGGTTTATTTTTATTACATTTCTTATTTCTAGTTATTTTTCTCTTCAGGCAAGTAAAGTCGTATCAACTATAGTATATACTATAGTCACTACTCACTATACCATTATACCTTTATACCACATCAAAGTTAGGTAATAGGTACTATACATACGAATAACGGATACCTTCGTAGGTACCTACTCGTACAGTCGTACTTTTAGGACTAAAACGGTCAATACAGCGTATAGCTATGAAAAATTATCAATAATATAATACTAATATTTACTAATAATAACAGAACCTTTTTTTATAACTGCTCTTTATTTTTACATTCCTTGGACATTATAGGCATTAGAAATATATCATTTTAATAACCTTGATTGTTGTTTGGTTCGTAGGTACTTCATTTGTAACACTGTGGTCATTAGTTCTACCTAAAGTACAACACAGTTTATACTTTCATAGAAATAAGGAACTAACAGTAAACAATAAACGACATCAATCTAATGAGGTTGTCATTGATGATAATGTATCAGTAAGTAATTTAGTTTCTTGTGCCTGTAAAATAATGCACAAGTCATCTTGAACTGTACCTGTATGATTAACCTATTATACCTAGCTAAACCTAATCCAAAAGCACATATCGCATGCTTGTACAGATAGGTAGTTAAAAAGTGCAAAGTGAATTTTATTATCTGTGGTACTGGTATTATTATAACCCGTTTAAACAATTGTGTACCTATGTACTAACTTTCAGCTGAAAATTCGATGCTTGTTTTATTAAATGTTTGAATATTGAGCTATTCTGTTAAAAAAAAAAACAATCAAGCTTTGTAGATTTTATTAGGTACTTGCAGTATGCTGTATATAGATAATGGTAAATTGTAAATAAATATTCTAATATTAAAACTTGGATCATAATGTTATGTATAATGTATATAGATACTTTATGTGGTCTTCAAATTTAAAATTTTACTTTAAGGTGTTTAATTTAATTATTTTAAAAGTTTAATAATTGTTAATTAGAAGATACCAACCCGCATGATTTGTCTCCGTTTTACAAACTGTTTGTACACTTTAAAACGCTCATAACTCGCTTTAAAATTAAAATATAAATAATCCATGTCATTGACAAGATAATATTCTTACTTTTGAATTTGGAAATTGATGGTTCTGTCACTGGACACCACGCCTCGTCATAAATATTATTATCATGTAAATATTTTCCATCATATTTGACCTCGCTATTTGCTTATTGTACGTACTATGCTTCTTATTTCTTCTTCTTTGGGGTTTGTCGGCCATTAAGACCATCCCGTCACACATCCAATTCTCCAGTCTTCCCTATCCAGCTCTCATACTTTCCAATCCGGTCCTCCATTAAATGCCTCCACATCTTTTTTATTGTATCTTCCCACTTCAACCGAGGTGTTCCCAGTAGTCTTTTACCAACTGGCTTCTCGTCTATGATCATCTTTATTAAGTTGTTCTGGCTTCGCATAGCGTGCCCAGCCCATTGAAGTCTTCGGTTTCTAATTGTGTGTACTATATTATCTTTTTTGAATAAACTTACCAGTTCATTGTTTTTTCTTATTCTCTTTACAGATTGTAAATTTTCTTTTTTAAATAAATGAAAATAAAAAAATGTGGTTATAGCCAATAGGTTAGGTTATTCATTTTAAAATATTAAACATAACATAGTTAAATTAATTATTTACAAAAATTTACTATGTTTGTAAAACCGTTACAATGCATGCGGGTATAATAGCGTCCTCATAATAACTGATTTTAATAAAAAAAAATTTATTTGCGTTTATAGGTTGATAAAAAAAAAATGTTTTGCACTTATCGGCGTTTTTGTTTATACGTTTGGGTCGCGTTTGTAAGGTCATATTTTGTGCGGACGGTTGTAAACTTGGCCCGATATTTTTCAGGTAAAAATTTTAAAAAACATGTAAGCTCGGCCCGAATAAAATTAATATATCCAGATCTTCTCATATCAATAATTAATAATTATCTTATGATATTTTTGCATTTAGCATTACCCAAAGGGTACAGCAAGGAGGCGATTCTCATTATTCTCCAAAAATTATTTCGTTTTATTATTAAAAAGTATGCAAATTCGTTATGACAGAATTTAATTATATAATTGTGTATACCTACCTAATACATAAACGTTCTAACGCTATTCATTATTTTCGGATAAAATGGATAAATGCGCTAGTTTGGGACTTGGGCAGACTATTATACAGCTTCCTATTTTTTGTAAATTATGTTTTCCTTTGCTTCAATTGCTTACATTGGTACGTCTAGGTACCTCATAGGTAATAACTAATATGACATACCTAAATTAAACCGTATGGCATATAATAATAACACTGTCTATTACGTTATAAATTTCAATTACATTTAAATTATTTAAGACATAAACAATAATTATAATATATATTAGGTATGACAAATTTACAAAAAATATAGATATTATAACTAAACATATTTCAATCTTATAAACAATTTATTTATAGAATGATGTTCCTAAAACTTCAAACGTTTCTAAATTTAAAGAAGTCAAACAGATGATTTTTGATGACTTTCAATCGGCGTATAAGAATACTTATGTACTGAAAAAATGTTTTTGGTGGATAGTTGCTGTTGTTGGTAATATTATAGTAAGTAAGTTGTACTATTATTACAATTCTTTTTATTGTGTGCTTTTTTTCTTATTAGGTAGCAACGTATATTCAAGTTTTGTGGGAAGACGTGAACAAAGATAAAAAAGAACTAATGAATGGCGCCGTCGAATCTGTACACACTCTTTGTGGTATAGTACCTATGTTATCTTAATATCTTATTTAAAATGTAATATTATGTTAAGATAATTAATCAAAATACACAATAACTATATGATTGCAAAATAGGTGCTGCAGGTGCATATGCAGTTGGTCACTTGAACTATGATTGGAAAAAATTTGGTGATATTATATTTACAGTTGGAACCTTTGTTTTGGCTTTATTATTATTCATAATATATTCTTGCAATTCATTATGGATATTATACCTATTATACATAATGTTTGGTACTTGTTACCAAATATTGTTAACTATCACCACGTATGACACTATATTACTTGTAATTTTTCAGGAATGTGCAAGTGCAAATATCTATTTAACATTTTAGAAACGTCTTCTTACCTATTTAATAATTAATCGGTACTTACCTACCTGTACTTAATGTTAATAACATGATAAACATTTAAAACAATCTATTTATTTCATCAACCATACGTTGAATTTCAGTTTTATATACAAGGCTATTCGTCAAAAATCCTCACCCCCATTTTTTTTATTTAATTATTTATATTATTTATTTATTTATTCAATTTTTGATTTTTGGAATATTTTCAAATATACTTAAAGACCTTATTTTCAAATTGTTGAGATTTTCTGTGGGTAGGTACTTTTTATAGAGTGTCCTGTTTCTACTGTCTATGCAAATTTCCGTGTTTAGAAATTAAATACTTTTGTTATTAAAGGGAGTTCTTGTATGGAAAATAGAAGTTTGTATCTCCTCTGCCTACAGGAAACTCGTTGAGTAGTACATTTTCAAAAATTTCAAAGATGGATTAGTATATAGGTATCTAAATATTCTGAAAATCAGATTTTAAATTACTGTATTATTAATCTTTCTGTACATAGGCCCCAGCACAAACATGTTCAGTGGGGCCTATTATTTTCTAGAATCTAGAAGAACAAATAAAAATAAAAAAGATAGGTAGGTTCCTAACCTTTGAAAATTTCTAGGTTGATAAGTATGCCTTTGCGGTGGTAAACTCCCAACTGAAGTGTAACTCTCCCGATTAATTACTCACTCATTTACGTCTATATTTTATAATCTCTTTTCTTAAAAATAGGTTGTTTGTAGTATTGGGTATAATAAATATAAATTATAAACTATAGCCACTTTGGTGTTATGGGTATTTATTGTGCTAATGTTGGTATCTACTATTGATTGAAAAAAAAAATGTTTAATTTAGGATAATTTTTAATACACATTACGTAATAATTAGGTAGGTACCTAAGTACTTAAATGCTTAGATACATATTTTATTACTACCTACTTAATAATTACGTATAAATTATAATATTACATAACCCTATATATATTATACTAACTACATTACCCATCATCAACTGTCTGTAAATGTAATTTAAATTAGGTAAAATTAATTTTAACCATTTATTATTTTTTAATAAACTAGTTTTTATTATTTACCATCAAACTTTATTACAAAATCAGACATTTGTTGTACCTAAATAGTAAATTATATATTTATATTTTATATGAACTGTGAACATATTATTATAACGTAGGTAGTATTTAATATATAGTTTATTAGTGAATTAGTGCTTACTCAATATTCTTCAGTTATATGACATATGTAATAACTAATAATACAATTTATTAGTATCTATAAATAGTATACCTAGTAAGTAGTAACAACTAACAAATTATCCGTCCTCCGTAAATGTTGTTGACAAAGTTATCAACAATCAATGTTGCCGGTATAAGATACTATAAAATACGATATTGTTTGTTTGGACTTATAAGTTGTTAGACTATACAATTTAAAGGTATTATAATTGATTATTTTATTGCCATTTAGGTAACTCATTAAATATTTTATAGGCAGGTACCACGTTAATATTTATCACGTTCTTTAGAGATGTTTACTGTAGTCTGTAGGTGTTGAATGTAATTATTACTTAAGTACCTAGTAATTTTAACTAGGTATTAACTATTAGCTATATTTTGTTACAATCCAATAAATCATTCATAGCTTGAGCAAGAGCGCTTAGAGATTTTTTCAACTTTTTTTTTATAGGACTTTAGGAATGGATAAATCATTTTTTATGCATATTAATATGAAATAAGTTAGTGTCCACGATCTGAAATATTATTTATTTAGAGGTTAATATATTATTACAAGAATTGTCAAACTGTTTAAGAGTTATCAGTAAATACTATTCTATTAGGTTATTTAGATTTTTATGGACTTCTATTATAGACCTAGGTAGTAGGTACCTATTAATTTTATAAAAACGTGAGTAAATAATTGATTATAGTATGTGATCGCCAATTGGTTATTTTATGTTCAACCAACTCTCATTTTGGAAGTCTGAGTACACAATTTCAATTTTGTTATTAAGTTAAGTTTGTAACATTGATTAAATATCCTACATAGTACACGTATCTATCGTTTCAATTAGGTACCATCTTAAATAATGTTTCAATTAATTAAAAACTGAAAACTTGCACATTCTTTATAATTTTTAATAATATAATACATCATGTCGGTGTCCTAACATATTAATCCCCGTCAATTGTTTTCTTGTCATTACTTTTTTTTTTTGAAAATTATGTCGGTAGTATTTTAGTAAACATAATGTACTCAGCCCCCGTGTATTATAAAGATAATAGATATAGTACTGTGTATACTTTGTCTAGCAAGAGTAGACTAATACCTAAAACCTAACGAAAATCGGTTCTTCGGTGTATCTCCATCAGACACTAATTCAGTAGTGGAACTTGTCTCTGTAGCAGGGTGTTGGGTATTCACTTGGGGACGCTCAAAATCGACGTATTCTCTAGTTGAACAGAGTATACGTCATATTATTATTATATACATTTATATTAATATAAAAATTTACCTACCTATAATTTATTTTAAAAATTCCATCTTAAAAAAAAACAGTTAAAATTAATTTATTGATAGATGACGGGGGTTAAGAGTTAAGACACATAAAACACCTAGTTATTAATTTTTTTTGTTGAATATTATTTTAGCTCTGAAGTTGCGAAGCACATAAAACCTGACAGTTATGGACTAATATTTGGTTTCAATTTGTTTATGTCATTATTGATAATCTCAATATTTACATTATTATTTATTCAAGGCCTTGTTGTTGTTATAGGGACAAAAAATCAGGTAAGTAATTTTATACAATATTACTTAAGAAATAGTGATTTAAAAGGCCAATCAACATTTTTTTTTTTTGAATACCTATATAACATACATAAAAATATCATGGATCTTTGATGTGTATTAACAAAATCAGTAACTTTAATTGAAAAATGTATGATCTGTGTATTTATAATACAGATAAAAGGATAAATATAGATTTTGATAGATGTAACTATGTAAGTATAGAAAATGCTGTTGTTTCATTTCAAAAAAAAGGATTTACAAAGTAATCAGTCATCTTTAAAGCTCCTTTAAATATTATTTATCTACTGTCAGTTATTTATATAATTAGACAATACTGTACTGAGTTCTACCTTCTAAATGTATAATACAATCTTTTATAACTATTGAAATTATTATACATTTTATTATTATGTGTCTAATGCTAAATGGATATACCTAATATGACAAAAAATAATTTTTTTTTTTTAGATATTAACTGTTTCACTGATGTTTGCTTCAATGTCTGCATTACTATTTATCGCGGCTGTTAGAAAATGGAAAAAATAAATTTCCAAATTCTGTGAACCATTGAAGAACGCTTTAACCAAAAACATGTAAATATTAATTTACATCTAATGACTAATTCATCAAATTATTTGAATACCATAATTGTCATAGATATACCTTCTGTGTTTTTAAGGTATCAAAGTTTAGATTTAAATTAATATTTAAAAAAGACAAGGTTGAAATATTTGTAAAAGAAGAATGATGCCTGTATGGACTTAGGATAGCATTTCCTATATTAGTTATCTGTTTAACATAACACCTTTGCATGAAACAGTCATAATACATCATAATTATTTTTTAATTATTTCTGATGATCATTGCATTTGAAAAACAATTATGTCGAGTATCTACATATTTATTTGTTGATGGAATGCTTAAACTTGTAAGTTGCATGAAATACTGTGATTTAGAAGTTTCTTTTTTTGAAATTCTTAATAGAATTGATTGAAAAAAATGTTAAGCAAGTATACTTCATACTTATTAAAAGTAAAACGAGTTTTATTCAAATTGGTTTTTGGATGCCAAGAACTGTTTTACTTCCGTACTTAATTAATTTTAATATTCAAGTTTGTATAATTAATATGTATCTATATTTCCTACATAGTTATATATCATTAAATGTATATATTAAAAAACAAAATAAAAACAGAATGTGTGTGTAATTTATCTTAAGAAAATAATATTTTATTAAATATTTTAGACTATAGCGTATGTGAAAATTAGAAATATTGAAGATTACATAAAAGGATGTCAGTGCACTATTTGTGTTATCTTTTAAACCTAGAGCACAATATATCAAATTTGCATGCAGTTAACCTTAATATTTAAAGTTAATTGACCTATAACAACCCTAAAGTTGTAAGTTAGGACTTCAAAACATTTTCAGTGTTTATACTTATGTTTTTTAATTAAATTAAATTACAATTTGTATACAAGTTATGAGTATAGAAAATATCACAGTTAAAATAACTCATGCACTGCAGAACAATTGTAAAAAGGCGACAAAAAAATACAAATACAGGTAGTTCATACAAGTAGTTTTTTACTGGAAATTTGATAACAGGTCTATTCAATCTAATGAACACAAATTTGTCATGTTGACCGTAAGTTAGAGAAAAACAAATACAGCACCGACAATCGACATCCTTTTAATAACAGTTATTAGTTATTACCTAGCTATTAGTTAATATAAATTAATTTCACTGTATAAACCAGAGCGCATAGTACCAAAGCGCAAGACTATTTTCAGTTTCTTCTTTTGACATTTTACAAATAAAATACTAGGGCCAAAGTAAAAATAAACCTTCAGGATGTCATCAAATTATCAATTAAAATGTTGTAACTTCTAACATTCTTTGTTAACAATGACAGAATACAACATCATATTATGCAATACCATATCCAGTAGTAAAATATCCCTAACTAGCACTAATCAAAGTATGAATCATCATTAAAATTAGTACATACATTTTTATTTATTTTTTTAAGTAGGTACTTAAAAAAGTACCATTTATAGTAAATAATTATTAAAAAATAACTTAGTTTTATCGTAATTTTGTTCATACATCTGAAATTTTAATACTCATTAATAATTAGTCATTCGGCGTCTTGATTTTTTAATCCTGAAAAAAAAATTAATATAAATTAGAGAAAATAAATTCTTACTAATGCCAATAATATTAACCATAAAACTGTAATACCTTTTTGGTCCTTTTACAAAGCACCAGTCCACACTAATTTGCTGTCCCAAAATGTCTGTATTATTCAGTCCTTCACGTGCTCGAAAAGCTTCCTTGTATGATTCATATTCAACTAATGCATAACCCTTCAAAAAGGAAATTTAGATATTGATAAATTATAAGTTAAGCAATTGTAATTAGTAATTACTTTTAAAAAACCAGTTCTACGGTCCAAATTTAAATGCAAGTTTTTAATTTTTCCAAACTCAGCAAATTTATCATGCAAATCATCTTCTTGTGCTTCTTCATGTAATGAAGAAATAAACAATATCCAGCCTTCAACCGCTGTAAAATAATTTGAATTAAAATTAATAGAAAAAATCAATAATTTATAACTTATGTAAAGTTACATCTTTGAGGTCCAGGTCCATCGTCATCAGCTTGATCGACTGAATCAAATTCCATGACTTCATCTTTTATATTGTCTCTTTTAGATTTTTCTTCAAAACCACGTCCTTTTCTTCTTCTAGCTTTTTCTTTAAGCTTAGAAACTCCCTCTAAAAATAATATTTTTAGTTGCATTTGTTTTTCACTTAAAGAATTGGGTTCAAATATAATTTACATACAGGAATATAATTACCCCATAAGGATTAACAATTTTAAAGGTAATGGTGTATTATAAACCAGGTAAGGGCGTAAGGGTAATACTATCATTTAACATTTTAAATTGCTATAATATTATTATAAATAGTCGGGCATAATAATTTAATAATTATATGTGTATATTTGTAGAAATATATTGATACAAATATGCTTGTATTAAAGATCTAATAATCAACCAAGAAATCAAAGAATTTAAAAACATGGATCAGTTCGAAATAACATGAGAAAAAAAGTACCTGAACATTCATAAAAGTAATTTGATGCTGGTTACACAAACATTACTCCTATAAGTATAATATTGTGAGCTTTTAATAAATAATATGAATTCAGAATTGGACTAAATTTTGATTTAGAAAAACCTAGATTCAAGAAAAATTGTTCAAGCGTTTGCTGTTAATTGTTATGGCCATATGAATATCTTATAAGCTGTACGTTATTTCCTAAGTTTTTATTACAATATTACCATCATCTTCTTCAACAAACTCTTCAGCGTTTAGGTCTAAAACGTCAGCCATTATAAAACGTACCTACTTCTGATAACTTTCACTGAAATATTTAAGTTCAATTAAACGTGTTGTCGTATAGTACTCACGTTAAACAAACACAAATTAAAATTTACAAGTCGTTGAAGCTATGAATTATGATTATTGAATATTGATTAGTGATTACTGATTACACCATGATATAATTATATCATGATTACTATAATATACACTATCTACCATTCTCCTTAATAATTTTTTTTCCGTGTATTTTATTATCTAATCTTCTATTATCTATGTTATCTATAATTTCAACGATCCCGGAACATTTCTTCCAAAATGTAATATTCATGATAACGTCATGGAAGAACATTGTTGCCAACATAATTAGTTTATGTCCATAGTTCAGAATAATTTTTCTTGCCGTTAAAAAAATATCATTTCCTATAATTCATTCATTATAGAAAGGATAATTAGTTTTTTGATATTATGAGTGAATGTTCTAGTAGTCAACAAAAGATCGATGGATTAGAATTGTAGGAGAAAATAATTCATATTTTAATTTTAACACTAATATTTACATATAAATCCATGCAAACGAAAACTATTTTTAACTTGATGGATTATTTTTAAATCAACTGAGTCATTACAACATCAATTATTAAATGAGTTGTGTTTATAAGTTGATTAGAAAATGAATATTTTAATTAGTTAATGCCAACCTTTGTTTATGTGGTTTGTGTTAATAAAATAAAAAACATTAACAATAAAATACTAATTGTTCATTAAATAAATTGCCAATAGTGTAAAAATTGAGTTGTGATTTTTAGGATGGGAACTCTGGTGATGTAGGTGGACCGATGTAGCGTCTCAAGTAATTAGCATTGGCTTGACCCATGCTCTTAAGACATCTTAATATATATATATCGATTACAACGGCATAAAAATCCACGGGAAAAAAACCCCGAACAAGAACGCTGGAAAAAAAGATTCCATACCCCAAGAAAAAAAATATAAATATATAAATATTTTGAATGATCGATGTACATCAAATAATACAAATTACCTTACACTATAGATTATTAAAGGTACACGCTACAGTACTACACTACTAGTCTGTGGATTTTTTTCCAGGGGATTTTTATTCCGGTTGCCACAACTAATAAAGACGTGGGCTGTAATGCTGTATTAATAGTGATTAAATTTGGTGCCCTCAGGTTACAACTACCTATTGTCTATTTTCGCTGTCCTCCCTTCGAATTTTTATCCAAACCGATTTTATTAAATCTATTCTGTGCTATTAATATCATTCTTTATCGCCATTTACACTAAGAGTCACTAAGACTCGCTTCGAATAATAATTTTATCACACGCATGTTAACCCCCCTACAGTCCCAAACCCTACAGTACCACAACCTATAGCTAATGGCCTCAGTTGCCGAAGCTTAAATAAAAAAAAAAAATAATAATAATAATAATTTTATGTATTTTATTTGTGAAGTTGAAATTTAAATCCGCGAATTAAAGTGACGCCGTCGTACATCAAACATCAAATTATTTTATAAAGCTGGGAAAGTCGCTCTGCTGATTATTGAATATCCGTCGGAAATTAAATAGTTAAATTTTAAATTTTAAATATTCTCGAATAGCTTAAAATATACCTAACCAATGCACTCAAAATTAATACATAAAATATTAATTATTAATTTCGTGCTCGACAGTATTCAGAGAAAAGATTTAACTTGGAATTTTACAAATTATATAGTTGGTATAGTCAGTATACGGTAGATGTGATGCATTAGGCACTGAATACCTTTATGTTAAATCTATAAAAAGTATTAATCACATTTATTACAATAAGATTTGTATTTAATAACTCATAAATAAATATGCTTGTGCTTCGAATATTTAAACACCACCTTTATTAATTATTAAATTAAAAATTAAAATAATAGGTAAATAATATATTTTTGTAATTTAAATTTTAAAATTATAAACTATTTCGGTTATTGTTATACCTCATTTCATTATATCTTGTTGATCAAATCTCCAACACGGACCTCCTTGATATAAAAATTTGTAATACACCATATATCTATGGTTTTATCATATTGACGTACTATAAATTATAATGCAATCCGTGGCGATTGTCGAAGTAGTTGCTAAGACGCAATCGATTTAAAATTTCAGTTAGCAAAGCTGCAAACATGAACAAGAAACATGAAGCGATCCGTACGGTTTTTTTTTTTAATAATAAATCTCAATATTTTAAGACTTCAGTTCAGTCGTATTTCTGATTTATTCCGCAGTGCACACACAATATCAGGAATTCCGCCGAAGCCCGAAAGCGTCGATGTTTAAAGTAATTAATTTTGGTTTCATACTTTTTATGGTGCTTAAATTTATTTTTTATACTTCAAATAAAAATTTAATTTCATGAAAAATATGCTACCCCTATGAAGACACATATTTTATTTCTGAGAGCAAATGCATAAAATACGAGAGATCAAATAATATACAAACGCCGCTCGTCGTCGTCGTTTTTCTGCTCCCTGATCGTAGGGTAATTTTATAATTATAACTTATTTTTAAGTACCTACTTGAAATAGACATTTATTATACGGTTTAATGTAGAAATACCCGTTATAAGTGATTACTCATAAGACACAATTTTAATTTATAACTTATAATTTTTTTTAAATCCAAAGTTAGCAGTTACAGGACACTATTAATTTAGTGTTATATATATATTTCTTTGTTCTATTATATATTAATATTACATTATATTATAGTTGTATCTAAAAAACAAAAATGTTCACAGAGTGGTAAACTCACTATCCTAATAGTAATCAACTCGCACGAGTGATTATGAAAAATATTATACTTTTATACTAGTATATAGTATTATCTTTATATAATATAATAAATAGTAATGAAATAAATAGATAAATAGATAAATAGTTCAATTAAAAAAAAGACATATCTTACTACTATAGTTGACTTTTGTACCAATGTACATATCTTTTTTTTTACTCTTTCACATATAAAACTACATGTGGTTTTAGGTATTTTTATTGAACTAGGGGTACTTTTAATTTTTTTTGCCAAATCATTGTGTTCTCATCTATTTACATGTCGTACATACGCTACATAATGATCATGTCCATAAGAATTTATTTTTTTATTTTTTTGGTTTCTGTCGTTACGTTATTTTGGGAGTGTACAATTGCTTAGATTTTCTTCAACAAACATCTTGTCTGGTAGAAATGTGAATAGTATCGGTACTTCAAGGGGTCAAAAGTAAAAAATTCTAAATAGTTTTCAAAAGCGGCAGGAAAAACAAACAAAAAAATTAAGGAAAAAAGCGAATTTTTTTCGGAAACCCGGTTTTCAACAAAATCGATTTTGGTTTTTGATGTAACCTCAAAACAAAAAAAAAATACTGTATATATACATGAAAATTTTACTGAATATTTATAACGGCGTTTTCTATAAACCATACAATTTTAACATTTATTTTTTATAAGCATTTGAATTTTGAATTTTGTCAAAATAAGCAAAAGTCACGAAAATGTGCAAAATATATTGAGTTAGAAATTCATAAAAATGTTTCGTTTTATATCTAAGTTTTTAAAACCTAATACAAGATTTCTTACAAGTTTGTCTGCCTTTACCAAAAAAAAAATTCTATCGGACAGTCGAATTACATTTTTATAAGCATTTGAAGTTGAAATTTTGACAACATTGGATATTTACTCCATTTCTCATATAGTGATTTTTATTTATTTTATTACAATGGAAAAACCAATAATTGCAGATATTTGAAATTCACATCATTTGTTTATATGTATTTTCAGTTCATATACTTAATACAATTTTACTATTTACAAACAATTTGAATTTTGAATTTTTTTAGTTTATTTAGTTTTTTTTTCAGGGAGTTAATAAAGTGTTTATAAAAAGTTAATAAAATATTAATTGTTAATAAAATTGTATTTTTTTAGCGAAAAAGCTTGAAAATTCAATAAAATTCTCCTGGTAGATATTTACAATATTAGTTAAAAAACATTTAAAATACATAGGTACGATTTTTGTAATGAGCATTTAAAGTTTAAATTTTAACAAAATTCGCATCATTTAAAATGTACAAATAATTTAATAATTTAAGATTTTTGAAATATTCAACTTTTGTAGGTTAGGGTTGAAAATTCAAAACAAAGTTCCAAGCAAGTAGGTTATTCTGTTATTAAAAATTCAAAAAAATATTATTACAAATTTTTTATGTTCAAATGTGAACTAAATTAACCCTTTAAGATTCAATTGCCAAGAATAATGATTTATGTTATTTTGTTGTAAATTAAAAATATTATTCGTGGGTACTTGAAACGTTTAAAGTATATTGTTCTATTTTATATCCACAATGACTTTTCAAATGCACTTTTTTTTTAATGAATTCAATCTACTGCGTGTAGTACTAATACTTACTAGTAAAATAAATTATTTAATCACAATAATATCATCGAATATATACTAAATCATTAAGTAATATTATAGACTGACAGACAGTCTTCGCTCAGAATCGTTTTTCGTATAGGTACAATGATTTTTTATCGTTGTATTCAAACTTAACACCATCCATTACAGTGACCCAATTGTAACCTAATGTCCTAATGTGCAGCAGAGCTACCTCCACATACCAAATTTTTTAAAATATAATTTTCAATATCTTAATATTTTTAACTTATAAATTTTTAACCGATTTTTATTGCTAAACATTTATTAAATAATGAGTTACTTTTAATCAAGTAATAGTTGCGTAGTTTGTTTATAAAATATAAAATAATGAATATAGTAAAAATTATTATTATTGATGATGCTACGTATGACATCAAAATTTACTTTTTATTATTTTAAAACCAGAAAACTGTCTATTTACGTACATAAAAAAAAAATAAGTTAGTTGTAAGTTTCCAAATCAATTTTAACTTACCTGAATTAAAAATAAAATTAGGAGAACTATTATTAACTTAAAACTTTTTGAAATGTTTCATATCGCCTTAACTCAGTTAAACATTTTCATTAACTAGCCCAGGCTTGCAGTTATTATTATACAAAAATTATTTTTTACATAATATAGGTACTCACATAACATATTATCTAACTCTAATTTATTGTAATAATTATTTATTTTCTTAAATACAATATTTCAG